TATATTTGCATATGTACATGTCTTTATCTAGAGCTCTATAAATGCCCTTTGCCTTCCAGCTCTTTCCTCTATTTCCCTGCTGATTTTTAAATAAAATTTATTTATGAAACTTTATAAGATCCCTTCATTTGTGATCAAGTAAATTGTTTTGTGAAGCACATTTTAAGCTTTGTATTAGAATGGGTCTCCTTCTTTTCCAAGTATGCCAGTAGTTCGTAGACCACTAAATCATCACACTGCCATCAAGTTGATTCCAGTGGACTGTTTTTCTGTATTTTTCATGATTGAAGAATGTACCTTCTTAATCCACTACTTTTTATAAATGAGACAACTGCTGTCCTAAAACAGTGCTTCTCAACTTGTTGGTGGAACAATAGAAGATCTGGATTAGGGAAAAAGCCACAAGGAAGAAATAAGGAGACAGTCCCCCGCATTTATCAAAACCAGAAAAAGAAACACATACGTCCATGAGCGAGCAAGGTGCAATTCAACCAGTACCTATTTAAAAATAAATTACAACTACCAAACCATTTTCTTTTGTCTTCATTTCTCAGAACAAAAACGGATGGCAAAGAATGCTGGGGATGCACTCAGATGAAGCCATGACACTTGGGCTCTATTTCTATTGTTCCACCAACAAGTACTGATTGAGGGCCCACTTTGTGTCAGTCATTGATTAGGCCTTGGGTATACCAGAGGCAACAAGACAAGCCTTTACTCTAGTCCTTTTATCCCCAGTAGCATTTCTCTTTCCTGTCATGAGAAATACTAGGAACCCTTTAAGATACCATCAGTTTCTGTTCTTCCTATGAGACCTTCCGTGAAGGTACATGCTCTTTGTATCTCTTTTTTTTTACGGCTATAATCAGGAGAGGTTTTAGTTTTGGGAATGTGTAGCTTCTGTAATTTTAAAAGAGAGCACGACTTAAGCGATTAAATGTAATCAATCTATATTGGACTGTCCCTTTTAGTCAACTTCAAGCCCTTAGAGCAGTGACTCATTATAATCAGCTGGAGAACTATTTAAAACCTATCTGTACCTTACTGGAAGATTGTGGTTCAGTATATCAGAAATCGAATCGAGACGCAGCTCTGAGATAAATCCGATGTGTCCTTGGCTTAGAAGAGACTGCCTTGGGGTCACCTGTCAGTAATTGCTTTGTTGCTTTGTGCAATTTATTGAACGACAATAAATAAAAGGAAGAGTGGCTTAAAAGATTGGAGAGAGTGGCAGGGGTCAGATCAAATAAGGGTTTTGGTCTTACAAAGAGGTTTAAATTGAATTCTACTTCAATGGGAATAAGAGACCGTAAATCTGGAGTTTCTAAATACTGACTAAGGAGTAGCCACATAAGGACACAGAGACTTTGAGCCTCTCCCAGTTACTAGATTGTGGCTATATCCAGGCTTTTCTGTGTTTGAATTAACGAAATAAAACATATATTACCAGGTTAGCGATGTTGTATATGACTGGATTGGAATACCGTATTAATTTGTTTTGTCTTCCTCGGCAGTTCTATTTAGTTGTATATTTGGTAGATATTAAAGATAAGCCTTAGAAGTTATCTTGGAAGGTTCCAGCCTTTGGAGCCACAGTTTAAATCACAGTTGAACAGCTGCTATGCTTAGATTTTCGTAAGGTTCATGCCAATCAGAATCATGAGGCTCATCTGTTCTACAGGAATACTATATTATCTCTAGTTTCCTTACTTTAGATAATGGCTTACTGACCACATTGAAAACGTAGGACGGGGACTGGATTATCTTCCCTAATTTGATGGTTTATTATATGTTACTATATAGGGAGGCATATTATTTTCGTGCAGATTGTGGACTTGACTTTTATTTATTTATTTTCTGCCCGTTTCTTAGTGTTATTCCTCTTTTAAGAGAATCTGTTGGAATATTGATGCAGCGAACTCCTCCCCTGTTGGAAAATTCTCTGCCTCAGTGTTATCAGAGGGTAAGTTTCAAAGCTTCCAAAATGATTGGATTTTATATTGTTTTTAAGCTCTGAAAAAAGTTTTTAACTGTTACAAATATGAATGCTTTGGGTGTAAAATTTAGTATTTCTTCTCAGATTGAATGCTATCCAGGAATGCCATTTATGTGAACCAAAACAAAACCATTGCAAGATATTGAACTTTACTAGAGAAAACGTGGTGAAGATTATCCACATCTAGAAATTTAAGTTTTATTTTAAAATAGAGAATGCGATAGCATTTAGTTAGCACACATCTATTTTTTGAGCTCCGCCGGTACTTTGTGCCCGGTGCTCGTGAGGTTCGGGAGGTGCCATAGTCACAGGATAAAGAGCACGTCTATTCTCAGTGCACATAGAGTCCAGTGGGGATACAACAAATATTAGCAAATGAGAAAATATCAAGGATGATTATGACAATAGAAGTAAAATGGGGTGATATGATAGATTCACTGAGGAGGCTATTTAAGTTGAAATGTTGATGACGAGAAGGAGCCCGCCATAGGAAAGTTTGGCAAAGAGTACTCCAAGCAAAGGGAAATGCTAAGGAGAAAGTCTTATGGGTGGACCTAATTTAGTCTATTTGAGGGTGAAGTGGGGGCCAGCAGGCACCTTCTGTGGTTGAAAGATAATAAATAAAAGGAAGAGTGGCTCGAAAGATTGGAGAGAGTGGCAGGGACTAGATCAGTAGAGGTTTGGGTCATATAAAGAGGTTTAAATTGAATTCTAACTCGATGGGAAGTATCATCAGTTTATGTTTTTATAAGATTAGTCTGTCTGCAATGTAGAGATCAACTTCTGAGGAGAAAGAAAACCAGTTTGGGGATATTATGAAATCTATTATTTTCAAGTGTCTACATCATTGATTTCTGCCCTATATTTCCTTCCCGTCCCCCAACAGTTTTATTGGCACATAATTTACATCTCATACAGTTCTGTAGTTCAGTCATTCAAGTATATCAGGTAGAATTGTACAGTTATCACCGCTTCAATTTTAGTGCCTACCCACCCCTGGCCCCCATGGTTAATCACCTTTAAAATGAGTTGTGCAATCATAATCCTTTCTAGTGCTCCCACCCCTCTCCCACCTTCATTATTTACTCCCAAGATCCCCCTTCACTCCCTATCACCCCCTTTCCACCCCTGCATCCCCGATAAACCCTTTTAATCAGTTAATATCATTAACATCCACTCTTCCTGTGTTTTACAGCTGGGAAACCCAACAGAAAACAGAACAAAACAAAAATTGTACGAAGGTGTTAAGGATAAAATCATAATAGTATAAATACAAATAATGTGTAAGAAAGAAAAGACCCCCATCAACATCTTTTGTGGAGCAATATGATACTTGCACCATGAACAACTTCAGGTTGGGTCTATAGGGAGGTCAACTGGCCAAGTATCGAGTTAGATCCAGCAAAATCAAGATTACATTGGTCTCTGCCTGATAGCAAGGCTGTTTGAGACTCTTGCTTGTGGCTACGTGGATCTGCCATTGGCTCAGTCCCAAAACACTCTGTAGATGGGCTTTTTTTGGAGTCCCCCTGTCCTCCACAGCCATCTACAAATTTGGTGTCCATAATTTTACCTCTGATACTTTTCTTTTCACCACATTCAAATTTTGTTCTTGTCATCGTTGGCTCACACAAGCTGGTGTGCTTTCTCTGCGTGGACTTACTTGATTCCTCACTTAGATGGCTGCTGGTTTGAATACAAACCTTTAGGACTCCAGACACTGTTCTGAATGATAGAAGAGCACCATGTACTTTCTTCACCACACTTTGCTGTAGCACCCTTATATTCAGTGATTGCATCATGAATTTGAGTATCTAGCAGGGCCATGTTATCAGAACTATCTGTTATTGAATTGGGGCGAGAGTTAGCCCTTTATTTCTTTGGGCTTACTCTTTTAGTCTTTTTCTAGCATCTTAACTCATTTGTGTTTATTCTTGTTCTTTGATGCATTTGAAACTGTGTATTTCCTCACTTATGCCCCACAAATCCTGATTACATATTTGTAAATTAATTCAAATATTACTGCCTATTTTTTACTTCACGTACAACCTGTTGACTTGAACCCATTGAAACACCTGCAAGACAGACTAGAACTCTTCTTTATGGTTTACAAAACTACAAATCTTTGTGGGAACAATAAATCTTTATGGGAACAGACAGCATCATCTTTCTCCTGCAGAGCAACTGGTGGTGTTGAACCACTGACCTAGCAGTTAGCAGCTCAATGAGTAGTCCACTGCACAATCCCAGCTGTTTGTTTTAAACTCAGGAGTACAATCTGTTTGCTGAATTATTGAACAATAATTTAAAAGAGAGTGGGCATTTATACTTGATGGTGTTAATATCTGTACTTTATATTTTAGGTGCAGCAGTTACAAGGAGTTTACAATTTACAAGAGCAGCATTTCTGGACTTTATGTTCTGATGTTTATGTTGGGACCTTGAAATTAGTTGTAGCCCCTGATGCTGATGCAAGGTGGATTTTAAGCCAAACACATAATATTTTTACTCAGGTACGGCTCTTTTAGTAACTTCTTTTAAGGGTCTTGATAGTTACTGTATATGTTAATTTTAGAAATATTCACTTGTAAGGAAGATAGTCCTGTTTGATTTATGATTGTACTGATTTGAATTATTTAAAGTGCAAGTAGATTCTCTTTTGCTATATAGTAGTTATAAGATATTAGATTCTATTTGAAGCCAAGAATTATAGCATTGAGATTAAGAATTGTAGCCTTCAGTGGCTTTAGCCATGTTTATTTTTTACATGTTATAGCAAAATGTTAGTTTTCCTATTGTGTGATTTATAGCATAAATATGTGACTGGCTTTTTCTTAATTCTGTATTTGGAATTATGAATTAAGCAATTAGCCAAATTATTTTTGTTAGGGATTGTGGAATTGTGTGAATGGTAATCAGTGAAAGAGTGGATATTAGGACATTACATATACTATAATAGACTAAGGTCATATTAATGATATCTAAGAAGAGAGAGATACACAATCAGTTTGGGAGGAGGATGTGGTCTCGTTTACTAGGAACATTTGGTTAAAATGTAGCCAAGCACATACTGCCAAGACTATGTAATATATGCCTCTAGTGAGGAAACTAGTTCCCTGCCTTAAATATAGGTGGTTTAAACTGATGTTACATGTTTCCTGGTGGGATACAGTGTGAAGTACACAGCGTAACCTGTGTATTCTACTTGAATATTCAGTGTGAATCTGATTGTGAGCAAACAGCCAGACACATCAGATTTAGGGTTTTCTGAAAGATCATTAGCCTGAATTAGAAAGGAATGGTGGTGTCATATGAGAGGAGTGAAGACTGAGGACTTATTCTGTATTAAAGAGGACTTTGAATTAAATTGAGGGAAAGTAGCTGCAAAGGATTGGGTAATCAGAGAAATTAAAATATAGACTGCATATAACTGTCTAGGTTCTAAATTTCTTGGGTGTGACAATAGTTGTGGCTATATGATATTCTGAGAACACACGTGGAAGGATTTAGTGGTAAGGTATCAGGATATCTAGCTAATATTCAAATGTTTTAAAAAACCGAAAAGATTATAAATGCATGTGTATGTAGAGACATTAAAAAGAAAGTCTGATAAGACACATAACTATCCTATAGGTCTTTAATATTTCCTCCCCTTACTATTATGGTCTTTGTTTTACCTCATTAATCTTGTTAACCCTGCATATGTTCTTTTGTATAGTTAAGAATATTGGATGCATGAAAGCAAGAGAGATAACCCATCCGAAACAGTAACAGTAGTAATGATTCTCTAAGGGTTCAGGAAGGTGGGGAAAAGGGGAAGGGGGAACTGGTAGCAATGATAATTGTATAACCCACTTGACATATAACAGAATTGCAGGTGAATGGATGCATTGGATGGTTTGAGATACGTTTATATATGTATATGTATAATATTATATAATAATGGTTCCTGGGGATAAGGTGGGAGAGGGAGGGAATAAAGAGGAGCAGATATCAAAGAGTTAAAGAAGGAAGAAAATGTTTTGCAACTGATGATGGTAACAGTTGTAAAATTATACTTGATCTAACTGAATTATGGATTGTTATACTATCTATAAGAGCTCCCAATAAAATGATTAACAAAAATTAAAAATAAATGTGGCAAAGTATTAAAATTCGTGAGTCTAGGATGCAGATTTTTCCCAAAACCATTTTGTTAGGAGCTAATCCAAGCATCATACCATTCCATAGTTCAGTCACATCAAGCAGTATTGTACAATTGTTACCACAATTAGTGATTATAAATTTTCACACCATGAAAAGTTGAAAAATCCAACCCTTGGTGATGCCTCACGGCCACCAGGATCATCCCCAAGCATTCTGGCATGGCCTAATTAGTTTCACACCTTTCCTTGCAATTGATCTACCAGTCCCTTTGCGTTCTGACCCCACTGGGCAGTTAATGTCTCTGAGTGGGATAAAACTGGTACTTTACTTCAGAGGTTCAACTCAGTTACTACGTTTCCTCCAAAGCCCTAGAGAGCCCTCGGAGAAGAAGTACTCTTTCCTATGATGTATCTTATTGTACATATTGGTTACAACTCTCTCCAGTTCTTAGAAGCGTTTGTGTGTACATAGGGCCCACTTTGAGCAAAGGCTCCCAAACTTCCTTGGCCTACCAACCCCCCTTTCAGAAAATAAACCAATAAATATATAGACCATTCAATATCCCACAGGCAATTAAAAGCTTTTGTACTTTGGCCCATAATCCAGGGATAAAGTGGAGGTGTCTACTTTTGCAGGCCCCCTGGTTTATTCCACGCCCCACAAAGTGCAGTATTCCTTATTTTGGGAAATACTGCTTTAAGGGGTTCTGCCAACGATACCAGTTGTTCCTCACAGTCTAAGCAAGCTAAGATCACCCTCTGCCGATGCCCAGTCATGTGTTAGGTCAACGGGCCTACTCTATAAATCTCAGCTGTGCACACAGTCGTCTTTCTTACATCCCTAGCTACCTAGGTTGGAACCAGAAGTTATCAGCCACCAACTTGGGAGTCTATACGATTCCCTTCCATATCAGCATCCCATTGCCATTAACTCAATGGCACAAAACCTTATAGGACAAAGTAGACTCACAAAACCTTATAGGACAAAGTAGAACTGCCCCATATGGTTTTCAGGAGCTTTATGGAAGCCAACTGCCATACCTGTGTCTCCATGGAGTCACCTGGGCTCTTCCACTTCATACTAACCTCCCGTAACCTGAAGTTGTCTTTTACCAGCCCTGGTACAAGCTCGGGAGAATACGGGCTCCCTCCCACTTTCGCCAGCTCCCTCTGCTCTTCTGGGTCCCATAATTCACTGGAACAGCTCATGGAGTTCTTGGGAGACACGGTACTTGTGTTAATAGCTGTGATAACAACCAAAGCCATCTTTAATTATGCTAACTATGGGAAAATACTATTGAGATTTCCATATGTTTCTTTAACCATTAGCTCAAAAAATAGAGTAATGGTACTTGAAATGCTTCATAAAGTTTATGAGAAAATGGAACTGGAAGACAATGGAAATCCTTTTGAGGTGTGTGTGTGTGTGTGTGTGTGTGTGTGTGTGTGTGTGTACAGATCATAATATGCAGATTGTTCTTAGCATAAATTAAGCACTCTCTCCTCTCTAATAAAGAGAATGTATGGTGAGTTCCTTTGGGAATAAAATAATGAAATCATTGTATGTATAATTAGGGGGCAGCAACATTTACTTTATTATGAAGCACTGTGCTGGTACCACTTATTTAATCCAGAATTTTAACAACTAGGTTGCTTTCATAATGAAGTATGTAAGACCTCAAAACATGTCTGAATGCATATTTCAGGAAGAGAAGGGTAACGAGGCCAATAGCAACCTTACCTTTCACTGCCTTTCCAGGTCATGATTCTCGGCCATGTTCCCCTAGTTGTACCATGGCCTTCCCCCGCCACAGAGCAGGCTTTGTTGGCTGGTAGGACGCACCGTAGCCCTAAAACGTCAGCACTTACGTTAGTCATAATCCCCTCGGAGAAGCAACGCGATGTCTAGGTTTAGCAATGTTGAAGCAGCTGATTGTTTGTAGAAAATACTGAGGTCATCATTTAAGTAGGTGGAGAACAACCTGATTTTTAAAATGGCTTAAGTCGAAAATTTGTTAAGATGCGTCTTAGATTTTAGAAACTGTAAATGCTTTGAAAATGTTAGCTCTGAAAAATAACTTCAAGCCTTTTTGTCAGCTCAGGTTGAGCCAACTTTATTTCATTCCTTGCAGAAACCAAGGACTCTGTCTGAGACTTAGAATGCTCCATATATTTTCCCCAGGGTGGAAGGGACATTTACCCCATTAATGATTTTCATTTTGACATTGAATAACATTAAAGTTGTCTTGTGATCTTTGTTTTATTTCTGACTTAAGCAATTTTGGATTTTTTTATCAGTTTATTTTCCTTCTGTGATTGGGCTCTAATGATGCATATCTTTCTGCTATGAGAATAAGCATTTAAGTAGCATTTTAACATTTTACTTTTTAAATGATAAAACTCAAATTGTTATTTCTTTTTTTAAAAACATAGCACTTATGCCTTAAATATGTTTATTCTAGAAAGACTTGAAATACTGGTGAACTTAGTTCCAATAGACCAAAAAGAGCATTTTCTCAATAAGTTATGCATTCTTATTTTGTACTATTTTTAGTCATCTTCCTTAAAATTCGAGCTCAAATCCACCAGACAGTTGAGACTAGCTGTCATAAAGCTTTGTAGCCATGGACACACTATGCATAGTTTCTATACATCTGGTTAGACTCAATGGCAATGAATTTGGTTTGGTTCTTATGTTTGATCTTTTTTGTTTTATTATTTTTGAAATAGATGATCTTTATTGTCCTAAAAATCAATATGTAAATATTCGTAAAGCTGCAGAAAGTAAGTGCATGCAGCACGATTTTGATCTTAATGAAATGGCATGCTCAAATCCCAAGTCCTAAGGAACACCGCTATGTGGCTACAGCCACGGCAGTCGGAGATATATCCGTTGGGTTGCAGGGCAAAATAACGAAGTCAAAATTGTAGCTAGAACAATACCAAAGAATATAAACTGATAGCTGATCTTTAATCAGAATTCAAATACTAGTTTGTGTTTAAGAAATTGTTCTTGTTAAAGCTGGTAAGAAGATAACTTTAAACTTTAAAAAACAACATCAAAAGTCTGGGGATTGATTTCAATAAAACCTTAAAAAATAATTTGAGTAAAAAAAAGAGTTTGGGAATTATAACTTCTGATTCTGTTTATGAAGCCATAGATTGGTGACTATTTTAGAAACTTATATCCCCAAACTAACCTCACTGCCCTCGGGTCTATTCCAACTCATGGCAGCTGTTGAGTAGAACTACTCTTGTGGGTTTCCGAGACTGGACCTCGTATGGGAGTAGAAAACCTCATCTTTCCCCCGAGGACCCGCTGTGATTTCAAACTGTTGACATTGTGGTTAGGAGCCCCATGTGTAGCC